GGAGGGGTTTCCTCACAGAGAGGCCCGGGCTGCCTCCTGAGCAGAATTCTCTCGAAGACGAGCAAAGATCTGCATTGGTTGTATGAGCTGCTCGAGGAATGGCATTTTGTCGTGGCCCCGTAGGAGGGGAACTTGTCCACGTGTGATGTGTGTGGGAGTAGTGGGTTGGCGTGAGCACTCAGTTCCTATGACCTGTGACAGAGCCCTGAATGAAACAGACAGTTCGCTGCTGTGGGCAACCAGAAAAAAACCTATTAGCATCATTTGTGGCTTTCGGTGTTTTTACATTACCTGCAACCAAACCACAGGTAATGATCAGTTTTGATTTGGGTGTCCTTGGATGAGACGCAGAAAACGTGGAACCTTCTTCCCCCAAGTGGCCCGTTGTGTTATAATTTGCAGCATGTGGTGAGGCCCCGAATGGTTTTGCTTCTTTCAGTGTCTCTCCATCGACAGAAAGGAAATGGACATACGTTGAGCTCTTTGGAGAAAATTTCTGTACAGCTGGAGAAGGAACCAGAGGGAGAAATAGGCCTTTCTGGGACTGGGGAGTGAGCTGGTCCTGTGGTAACACCAACCATGCCTGTGTCCTCTACTTACTCCATCAATTGTTTGGGTTTTTTGTTTTCTGGGTCGCACCCAGCAGTGCTTGGGGGTTATTCCTGGCTCTGTATTCAGGAGTCACCCACGGTGGTGCTTGGGAGACCACCTGGGATGCCAGGAGTCGAACCCGGGTTGACTATGTGCAAGGCAGACAGCCTCCTCACTGGACTACCACTCCGGTCTGAATCTATTGTTTTTGTTTTGTTTGAGGGTCACACCCTGTAGTGCTCAGGGCTCACTTCTGGCTCTGAGCTCTGGGATCGCTTCTGGTGGGGCTTGGGGAACCACGTGTGGAGCTGGGGAAAGAACCCAGATCTGTGTGCAGTGCAAAGCAAACACCTCCAACCCTCCCAGGCCCCAGATGGATTGTTTTTTAACACCTCTTTCAGAATGGAAACTTGAATATATTTCATCTTCTCATCATCTAGTATTTTTGATAGAAATTATATATAATGTCTATGCAGATATATGATAATCAGCTAGTATTTATGATTTCATTTCATTCATTTCATCATCCTGTTATTCGTCGATTGCCTCGAGCAGGCCCCACTAACGTCTCTTTCATCCTAGCCCTGAGATTATATTCAAGGCTCTTTAGGAGAATGAGACCCATCATTGTTACTGGTATTTGGCATATTTGGTACGCCACGGGGAGTTTGCCAGACTCTGCCCTGTGGGCAGGCTACATTCGATACCCTGCAAGTTTGTCCAGAGTAGGAATGAGATAATGAGATATCATAAAAAGATGTTCTGATAAGATGTCGCGTGGCCGCGAATGCGGCCGCGCGGTTCCTGGAGCTGCATTTTGTAGTCTTTGAGTCTTGGCCGTTGATGGGATTACACGGCGCCAGGGGGCCAGGTGGTGGGTGTGACCCCCGCCTACTGGGATTTGGAGGATCTGGGTGGAAGATGCTTGACTCCAGTCCGAGTAGGCTTGGAGATCTCGGCCCCAGAACCCGTGTGGCTTTGTCCCTCTGCCAGTACCTTCATGTGTGTGGAGAGTGGTCTCAGCATGGTTGTGGCTGGTCCTGGAGGTCTTCAACTGCCGGAGCCCTGGTCGGGGCGGGGAGGAAAGTATTTATGATATACACGTTTATTTATTTTTTTCTTTTTGGGTCACACCCGGCGATGCACAGGGGTTACTCCTAGCTCTTCACTCAGGAATTACTCCTGGCGGTGCTAGGGGACCATATGGGATGCAGGGAATCGAACCCGGGTCGGCTGCGTGCAAGGCAAACGCCCTACCTGCTGTGCTATTGCTCCAGACCAATGTACACACGTCTATATATATTTTTATGTGTGTTTTGCTCCAAGGTAAGGTTAGCAAGGATTGCAATACAAGAATGTCGTCAGGACATCTTCATTATTATATTAATATTTCATTACTGGTTTTAAGAATCTTCTCTGGAGAACTTATTAAGAATAATTCTAAATTATTCTTCATGCAATTTAAGAATTTTGAGAAGCATGGTACACACAGCGTTGCCCAGTAGATCTGAGTGTGGAAGAGGCAGTTCCTGGTGAAGGTGGAAAAAATCAGGCAGCGGGAACATGAGGGTCTCTTTAGAGAGAAAGTCACGTCCAGCCAAAAGTTTCACTGTTGCATTTTCTCCTCTCAGTATGTCACTTTGAAACCGTTTGTGTCTTAGTGTAACTTTTCACATCCCGTTGCATAAACTAAAGTAGTCGTCTGGAATTCCTTGAAGTCCATGGTTTGGCTCCCGCCAACGTTAAACAAATCCACGGTCAGAAATGAGTGTGGATACCTTTCCAGCACTTAAGCCTGGTCACAGGAGATGCTTTGTAAAATCAATAGTCTGAAATATCAGAGGATTATGGCTGTACCAGATACCCCGGATGCCAAGCATTGTTTTAATTACTCTAATAAAAGAAAGCTGGGTGGACTTTGAAAAAAAAAAGAAAAGGAAGAAAGAAAAAGAAAAACCACCCTTGCTTATAAAGAATGTACTGCCCAAGCCAAAGCAAAAAAAAAAAATTTCTTTTTTACAAGTTCTTTTAGAAAATCTGGAAGTATTTAAGCATTTCCCTCTTCTTCTGAGACAATGCCTGTTCCCTTCCAGGGGTCTGGCTTACAATCTCCTCTCTTATGATGACCGCCTTTAGAACAAGTGGACCAGGTGGGCTGTTCCCTTGCATTGGGGGTTGATTTCAGAGAGCTGGACGCCCTTCTGCGCTGGCACACACACGTAAACACAGTTAATGGGCTCGCGCATGGGAGAGCTCGGAGGAGCTTTTCCTGTTTCCTTTGGCACCCCGGCCGGTCCGGAGGCTTGAAGAATACCCTCTCCCTCAGTGATGGAGGAGTTCACTTTGCCAGGGCGTAGATGTGTTTGTGTCACTGCACCAAGATTGATGGTGGGAACGGAGGAGAACTGGGCCGGGTGCTTGAGGACACCAGCCCTTCCCAGACAGAGAGAACCCTGCAAGGGCCCTCACCCTGGTCTAGGCAAAAGATGCCCTTGGGCTTCACACCCCCTCCCCCCACCAACTGGACTCCCAGAATGCCACGGGACCAGGTGCTGTGGGTGGTAGTGGGCTGGATGCCTGTCTAGCTGTGGGGCCACCCACGCTGTGTGGACCTCGGCATTGTCAGGACACTGTCCCTTACGCCAAAGTCCAGCGTTGCTGAATCAGCCTCTCTCTGGCCTCTGGATTCACACACACACACACACACACACACACACACACACACACACACACCATGTGGATTATTTCTCAGGATCCAGGATGAGCCCTGTAGAAACCGTGGCTATTTTGGGAAAAGCTGCCCTTTTGGGGGACAAAAGCAGGCACACAGGAGATTAATCTTCATGCCATCCGGAAGCCCAGTCATTGCCCTGGTACCTCAGTGGGTCCAGGAAGCTGGTGGGCATGGATCGTGCGGATGAACCCAGCAGGCGGGGCACCTCGCTGTCCCTCAGAGGCCCCAGAGCCGGCCTCACCAGAGCCGTTGGTTCCTTCCACCCCGGCTTGCCGCCTTCTGAAAGCCCTGGGCCTCAGACCCATCCGTGTTGAGCCCGTCGTCAGAACATTGCGGATGAGAAGGCTGGAGAGATGACCAGCTGTCCCCATGCTTGCCTTGCATGTGGCTGACCCCGGGTCTGATCCCTGGTACTGCATCATAGGTGATTCCCCAACCCGGGGTCTGATCCCCGGTACTGCATCATAGGTGATTCCCCAACCCGGGGTCTGATCCCTGGTACTGCATCATAGGTGATTCCCCAACCCGGGGTCTGATCCCTGGTACTGCATCATAGGTGATTCCCCAACCCGGGGTCTGATCCCTGTTACTGCATCATAGGTGATTCCCCAACCCGGGGTCTGATCCCTATTACTGCATCATAGGTGATTCCCCAACCCGGGGTCTGATCCCTGGTACTGCATCATAGGTGATTCCCCAACGCGGGGTCTGATCCCTAATACTGCATCATAGGTGATTCCCCAACCTGGGGTCTGATCCCTGGTACTGCATCATAGGTAATTCCCCAACCTGGGGTCTGATCCCTGGTACTGCATCATAGGTGATTCCCCAAACCGGGGTCTGATCCCCGGTACTGCATCATAGGTGATTCCCCAACCTGGGGTCTGATCCCTGGTACTGCATCATAGGTGATTCCCCAACCCGGGGTCTGATCCCTAATACTGCATCATAGGTGATTCCCCAACCCGGGGTCTGATCCCTAATACTGCATCATAGGTGATTCCCCAACCCGGGGTCTGATCCCTAATACTGCATCATAGGTGATTCCCCAACCTGGGGTCTGATCCCTGGTACTGCATCATAGGTGATTCCCCAACCCGGGGTCTGATCCCTGGCACTACATCATAGGTGATTCCCCAAGCACAGAGCCAGGCGGGAAGGGAGGAAGGGAAGGAGGGGTGAGTAAAGACGCAAAGAGCAGGGGAAGGAGGGGAGAGAGAGCGTCTCTGCTGGAAGCCAGAGGGCAGAACCCTTGGCGTGGCTTCTCACATGGAGTGCGTGTGGGCGAGGCAGAGCCTGCGGTGTTGCAGTTCCCCTGCCAATGTCCTTCCTCCTGCCTCTTACACTTTCTTTCCTCCCGACCTATGGCTGACCACTGGGGTCTCCCAGTCCCCTGATGGATGGATCCTGCCCGCCACCTGGACTCAGGTGTTCCGGCCCTGCTTGCCCCCGTCTGTGCCTCCCCAGGCTGTTGGAGCGTGGGGGACCAGAAGCTTTTCCCAGGGGTCCCCCACGCTGGCGGGCGGAGATGCCAGCAGCCGCCTCGGCCAGCGTGGGAACGCGGGCGCCCAGCTCTGAGGCTGGGGTTGCTCAGTGGTTGCCAGCTCAGAGGCAGGGGTGTGGGGACAGGACCAGGCCTACGGGTCCCGCTAAGCCTCCCGTCTCCCTCCTACAGTGTGGCAAGGCGCTGCCGGGGCTGTCCAAGCAGGAGGACTGCTGCGGCACCGTGGGCACCTCCTGGGGCTTCCACAAGTGCCAGAAGTGCCCCAAGAAGCCCGGTAAGTGCCGCGTTCCAGCCCGCGGGTCCCTGGACACTGCCACCCCCTGGCCTCACCGGGCAGACCCCTCGCCGCTCTCTCGGGAGCAGAGAGACTGAGGTCTCCTGAGACCAAACCTCACACGTCTGGTTTCCCGCCCCGGGAAAGTCGGTCTCCGTGTCTGAGGCGACTCCCCCAAATAACTTATCTCATCAGTCCACCACTTCCTGTTGGGTTAGACCCGAGCGTTTCAGATGCGGCTTCAGGCGAGACGCTAAACCACAGGAGTGATCCGTGTTTCAGTGGCCGGGTGCGGGGATGATACACTCACAGCCCGCGGAGTGGGGGGTCCCCTAGGCCCAGCCGGCATCGATGGGGGCTTCCAGGTGCACCTGGCGGTGTTCAGGGGGGTCCTGGGTACCCCCAGGGATGCAACCAGGACTACCCACGTTCAAGGCAAGTTCTCTCCAGCCCTGGGACAGAGTCTTCTGGCTCCTTCTCAGGGAGCAGAATCTACCAGAAGCCCAAAAGGCTCAATTAGCTGGTCCACAGAGCTCCTGATCTCTCCTCCTCTCGGACCTTCTTCTCCGTGAGCGCCCAGTGCCTGGGCCTCTGCTTCCGGCTCAGAGATTTCTCATGGTACCTCCCGGGAGGACAGAGGCATTTCTGGGCTTTCTGTTTTCACTCATTTACTCTCAGGAAAGCGAGACCTCCTTTTCTCAAGTTTCTCTTGTGCCACTACAACCGCGCCACTAATTTTATAGTCGTCTATTGATTCTTGGGGTCTGAGGGAGTGCCCCCAAACCGTGCTCAGACCCTGGGGTGCAGCTGGGGTCACTCAGATCACTCAGCCAGGACGGAGGGGTCAACACTCAGGCTCGAGCGTTGGAGCTGCTGGAACCCGGCGCTGCTGAGGTCACCAGGGCATCCGTGGCAGAGTCCGGGGAAACTGCAGTGCTGGGGGTCGAGCTGGGGTCTCGTACTCACAAATCACACACCCCTGGTCGCAGTATTCTCCCTTGTTGCTGTTGGTTTTGTTGCCGTGTTTTTAGTGCTCTGGGTCCCGAGGAATTTCTCATTTATTTCCCTTGGATATTTTTCTATTTTGCCCGTTAAATTTATCATTAAATGTATGTCACACATGTGATTCGATTATAAATTTGATTGGGTGCATATTTTCCCCTACCTCTCTGTCCAACGTAGAAACCTCCCTGGGACATGGCTTTCTTTGTCGGTCTTGTCTGCTGACAGTTTTTTTTCTCATTAGGATTCGTTTTCAGTGATTTTTTTCCCTTTGGGTGTTGGGTCTGTCCAACTCGCGACTTCTCTTTTTGTCGAAAGTGGATTTCACGGATTTTGTCAATGTTCATTTTCCATTTTTTTGGTTATTTTGTTTTGGGGCCGTACCCAGCTATGCTCAGGGCTTACGCCTGAGCACTGCACCCAGGAGTCACTCCTGGCAGGGCTTAGAGAACCATTTGGGGTGATAGGGATCGAACCCGGCCAGCCCTGTGCAAGGCAAGTGCCCGACCTGCTGTACTATCTCCGGCCCCTGTCGATGCTATGCTTACCCTCGTGAGGAGGCCTGCCTTGTGCAATGCCCCACTGCCTCTTCTGATAAAACGTGTGTTCTTGGGGCTGGAGCAATAGCACAGCAGGTAGGGTGTTTGCCTTGCACGTAGCCGACCCGGTTCGATTCCCAGCATCCCATATGATCCCCCGAGCACTGCCAGGAGTGATTCCTGAGTGCATGAGCCAGGAGTAACCCCTGTGCATCACCGGGTGTGACCCAAAAAGCAAAAACACAAAACCAAAAAAAAAAAAGTGTGTTCTTCATCTAAGGGAAAGGCCCCCAAATAAAGCTGCCGGGGACGGAGAGGTTGTCCCGTGGACATCCTCCCAGTGGGTGTGAGTTTGGTGACAGCCCCACCCGGGGAAGACACGCTTGCCTGAAGTGAGGCGGGCAGCCTGGGCAAGGGGCTGGAAGGCAGCTGGTGTGACGGAAAGACAGGGAGATGGTGTGGCAGAGAAGTTGACTCTGCCTCAAACCCCAGAACCCCATACGGTCCCCGGAACCCCGAGCCAGTGTTATCTGAGAGCACAGAACCAGGAGTAAGCCCTGGGAGTGGCCCCAAACTATTTGTTTTGTTTTTGAGTTGTGCCCGGGGATGCTCAAGGATCACTCCTGACGGTGATCAAGGGGCCATACGCAGCACCGGGGATCACACCCAGGTCCTTTGCAGGGAGGGAAGTGGCCCAACCCCTAGACACACTTTCTGGCCCTGTCATTTACTCTCAAGCTGTCTGGAGCTTGGATCCGGCGCTCCCTCAAAGGCATCGGACAGATGCCTGCTCCCGTCTGCCTGGGTAGACGCTGGACAGATAGGGCAGTGGGCAGTGGGGGTGCCCATCTCTGGCGTCTGGGTTTAGAGGCTGGCAGGGAGCAAGTCTGCATCTCACCACTTTGGCGTTAATATTTCCCAGCTACTGTCTTCTTTTCTCTCTCTTCCGGGGATATCTGGCTCAGTTTCTTCTCTCAACCCCCTCTCCCAAGTCCCCAAAGAGCCAGAGCGCGGCCCAACTTGGGACAAGGAATCCTCATCATTTTTTTTCTCAGTCCCTGCCGTCTGTCCCCGGCCTCGGGTCATTTATCTTGACCTGCGTTTTTCAGCGGAGAATTGCATTCTTTCCCGTGCGTTGGCTAGCGCTGAAGTTCCTGATTTGAGTCGAAGGTGGGAGTCGCAGTGGCTTGCCAGGGTGGGCCAATGAAAAGAAATTCTTCTGACCTAGAAGAGACGGAGCGGCCCTCTGGAAGGGCCCGTGGAGGAGAGAGTCAGGCAGGCGCAAGCCTTGGCCTTTGCTTGGCCGGCCCTGCCCTCTGCAGCCCGCAGACCCCGGGGTCACATTCTTCCTGTGGCCACACCGACTTCCCGGGGTCCCACCTCTTGGCCCAGTGCAGACTCGCTTTGGCTTTGTCTGCGATGCTGTTGTGTTCTGCCCGTGCCTTTCTTTTTCACCCAGAACAGGGCAATTCCGCTGCAGTAGCTTCCAGTTCCTGTTTGAAGGTTTTGTTTAATCACATACAGAAAAGCCTTGCCCTGTCGATCCGTTGTTCTGGGGAAACTTCAAGTCTGCAAACGATTTTATTTGCTGGCCTGAGTCCATTAGAAATGGGCATGAATAAGTCACTTGTCTTTTCGGAATTTTTTTTTTTATTAGTGAAACACCATGAGGTACAGTTGTAGACTTACAGATTTTTGTGCTTGGGTTTTAGTTAGACAATGATCGAGTGCCCATCCCTCCACCAGTGCCCATCCTCCACCACCACGGGTCCCAGCATCCCTCCCACCTTTTCTTGGTGGGGGTGGGAAGAGGGAGGAGTGTTTGTGATGGGGGTCGGGGGGAGTCACGGAGGGAAGTGTGAGGGGCCCCGCTGAAGCCCTGGAGCTCCTTAATCTGATCCAGCGGATGATGCATCATATCAGAAGTGGAGAAATGTGGGTTATAGGGCCAGGGACCAAGTTCGTTGCCTTTTGTGGCCCACTGGTCCCTCTGGCCTTTCTTTTCTTTTTTTTTTAAATTAATTAATTTATTTTTATTAGTGAAGCACCATGAGGTACAGTTGTAGATTTACAAATCTTTGTGCCTGAGTTTCGGTCATACAATGATCAAATACCCATCCCTCCACCAGTGCCCATTTCCCCCCACCCCCCCTCCCACCCTGCCTCTGTGGCAGGGCATTCCCCTTTGTTCTCTCTCTCCTTTTGGGTGTTGTGGTCTGCAAAAGAGGCATTGAGTGGCAATCATGTTCAGTCCATAGTCTACTTTCAACATGCATTTCCCCTCCTGGGAGGATTTCTTTTCTTTTCTTTTTTTTTTTTTTTTTTTTTTTTGCTTTTTTTGGTCACACCCGGTGATGCTCAGGGGTTACTCCTGGCTCTGCACTCAGGAAATGACTCCTGGTGGTGCTCGGGGATATGGGATGCTGGGAATCGAACCCGGGTCGGCTGCGTTCAAGGAAAATGTCCTACCCACTGTGCTATCATTCTAGCCCCCCTCCCGGCTTTTCTGCAGGGTTCCCGGGTTCTCCTTCTAAGGGACAAGAGGAGGGGCCCAATGGGGCAGCTCCCGGTCATCTACACCCCCCCCCCCCCAGATATCCCCTTCCCTGTTGACCTTCAGGAGGCTCCACTTAGAAGCAGGTTGGGTGAAGAGCGGAAGGAAGGGGGGAGGGGCCCTGAGGGAGGAAACACCAGCCAGGGGCAGGAGCAAAGAACCTGCCTTAGGGGCAAAATCGCTTCTTTCCCCAGAGAAAGTCCTCCTTGACTCAGTTTCCCCTTTGCCCGTTGCAGGTCCTAGAGCTGGTCCACGCCTCCCTTTGTACTCACAGTGAACTTCCTGTGACTCGTTGCCTTGGTCATGAAAGTGGGCCTGCAGGGCCAACCTGTACAGGGGGGAGGGTGTTTGCCTGGCATGCAGCAAACCCGGGTTCGATTCCCAGCACCCCATGTGGACCCCGGAAACCACCAGGAGTGAGCCTTGAGCACAGCCGGTGTCGTCCCCAAACAACAACAAACAAAAGATCCTTTGGAGGCTGGAGTGATGGTGCAATGTGGAGGGCACTTGTCTTGCCCAGGCCCAGGTTCAATCCCTGAGATCCCATATAGTCCCCCGAGTACCAGCGGGAGTAATTTCTGAGTGCAGAACTAGGGGTAACCCCTGAGCATTGCTGGGTGTGACCTCAAAACAGAAAGAAAGAAAGAAAGAGAAAAAAAGAGAGAGAGAAAGAAAGAAAGAAAGAAAGGAAAGAAAGAGGAAGGAGAAAAGGAAAGGAAAGGAAGGAATGAGAAAGACACAGAAAAAGAAAGAAGGAAGGAAGGAAGGTGAGAGAGAGAGAGAGAGAGAGAGAGAGACTGTGTAGGAAGGGACGATGGCAACTGTCACTGTTGCTCAGTGGCGGTCACTGTGAACCAAGCTCAGTCCTGAGCCCGACCCCACGCAGCCTCTGCTGCCCCCGGGCTGTCTCACAGGCACGAATCCCCCCATACCCCGAGCTTGTCTCCCAGTCTTGCTGGCCGAGCCCAGCCCTGGGCTTCCCCTTCCCGGTTTGGGGGCTCCTCTGCTGTGCCCGCCAGCTTCTGGAGCTCGCCCGGAGCAGATGCCTGTGGGGGCAGCAGGCGTTCTCCACTCCTGCGCTTTCTCCCCAGGCTCACGGTCTGGGGAGCAGCTGGCAGGCAGAGCCCCTGAGCTAGGACGACACCCCCGGCCTGGAGCTTACGGTGCCCACGGGCCCCGCCGGAGAGAAATCGGTGCTCGGCAAGAAGTTGGCCGGACCCGCAGGCTCCCAAACGCTCCCAGGCAGACGGTCAGCGCACGGAGAGGAGGGAAGAGCAGGTGCCAGGAGCCCAGTCCCGGGCACGGAGGGAGGATCCCTCCTTTGTGAGAGAAGGAAGGAGCTGCTAGTCATAAGGAGGGAGGAAAGTCTTACGATGCCAGTCAGAGACTGGCGAGAGTTGGGCCTGTCGGGGGCGAAGCAAGTGTGTGCGCTGGAGAGCCGCAGGGCACGAGAGGGGCCGGTTTGCCTTCACGCGCCCGCAGGAAGGACAGGCCGCTGGCTCCCGCGCCCGTGTAACGGAGACTGTGTCCTTCCCTTGCAGCTTACCACGGATCGAACCAAATCCTGGAGTGTTTGCAGGGTTTCAAGCGCGTGAACAACACCTTCTGTCAAGGTAAGCTGAGCTGAGGCTCCGGCTTGGACTCTGCGGCTCTGGGGGCTTCTAGGGCGGCTCCCCTGCCCGGCCCAGAGCCTGGCTCGTGGCTCCCACACGTGGCCGAGGTCGAAGGAGAATGTGGGCTTGTTGGAGCCTCGTCGCTGCCCTCCCCCCCCCCCCAGTCGAATCCCCGGAAGCTTGGCCGACGCCCAGAGTGCCTGGTCATCTCCCGGCCTCACCTGTGCTCACGCGTCTGCCCTCATGCTGACTGGGGGCACGTGACAGAGCATTCTCCCCCCACCCCACACACACTTGCACACATGCACACACTCATGCACGCATGCAAGCACATACACACGCATGCACACACACATGCACACACAGCCACGCACACACACATGCACGCACACATGCAAGTACACACACACGCGCGCGCACACACACACACACATGCACACACAGCCACGCACACACACATGCACGCACACATGCAAGTACACACACACGTGCACACACACACACGCACACACACATGCACACACAGCCACGCACACACACATGCACGCACACATGCAAGTACACACACACGCGCGCGCGCACACACACACATGCACACACAGCCACGCACAGACACATGCACGCACACATGCAAGTACACACACACGTGCACACACACACACGCACACACACATGCACACACAGCCACGCACACACACATGCACGCACACATGCAAGTACACACACACGCGCGCGCACACACACACACATGCACACACAGCCACGCACAGACACATGCACGCACACATGCAAGTACACACACACGTGCACACACACACACGCACACACACATGCACACACAGCCACGCACACACACATGCACGCACACATGCAAGTACACACACACGCGCGCGCACACACACACACATGCACACACATGCACGCACACACACATGCACGCACACATGCAAGTACACACACACGCGCGCGCACACACACACACATGCACACACAGCCACGCACACACACATGCACGCACACATGCAAGTACACACACACGTGCACACACACACACGCACACACACATGCACACACATGCACGCACACACACATGCACGCACACATGCAAGTACACACACACGCGCGCGCACACACACACATGCACACACATGCATGCACACACACATGCACGCACACATGCAAGTACACACACACGCGCACACACACACACGCACACACACATGCACACACAGCCACGCACACACACATGCACGCACACATGCAAGTACACACACATGCGCACGCACACACACACACACACACCCTTTTTCTCATCCAAACACGTACTCCAGAGGTGAACGGTCAGCATGCCCTAAGCGCCCCAGGCTGCCAAATGCCATGCCCTAAGCACTTTAGAGCATGTCCCAGGGTGGGTGGTGCATGGGGGGGTGAGGGTGGGCACCGGAGGCAGCACAGGAGGCAACTCAGGATCACCAAGAGTGAGCTTGGAGCCTGTTGGTGACTCTGAATTCCGTCTTACTTCCTTCGGGCGAGTGACCCGAGTGCTCTGACTTGCCTGCCTAGGTTTAGCATCCATGACAGTGGTGACTTGCCTCTCTGGGCTTAGTATCCATGGCGGCGGTGACTTGCCTGCCTAGGTTTAGTGTCCGTGGCAGCAGTGATGTGGAAAGGTGCGTCTGCTGACAGAAACAGGGACCATGGCACGTGTCTTCTGACCTGTGGCCCCACGCTCTTTGTCCTCTCCAGAGTCTGTGGCCAGAATAGAAGCAGGGAATGTTCTAGAAGGTACGGGCGAGGCCTCTCCACAGGATTCCCATCAAGGGGATTCTGAATCACCCGGGAATTTTCTCAGCTAAATCATTCTCACAGCACAGCTGTCAGGGTGAGCCTCTGCTGGCTAACTTCAGGTTTCTTTTGAGAGGTACCTAGGGGTATGCCTGAGTTTGAGAGGTTCTGCTGTGAGTTGTTACAGAGCCTCCTGGGTGAAAGAATGGTGCAAAGCTTAGGATTCCCCACCCCAGGAGAGGCTGCAAGAGAAACTTCCTGAGAGACATTTGCAAATCTCAGTAACAGGAGAATATGAATTGCTGAAGATTAGTTGACACTCGGCAGAACTTACGGTGTCCTTAAAAGACTGTACTAAGTGGCTGGAAGATGAAATTAGATGGAAGGGTGAGCAGGTTCTGTGAATGAATGGCTCTGTTTTCTGCATGTAAACCAAGTTATCGTTTCAAAGATTTGAATAAAATACTGTTTTATTTTTTTTAAGTAATCGTCTCTACCATAGAGCTTCAATTTTTTTTTCCCACTCACAACCCATTTTTGCTCCAGGAATGATTATGTGACCCTGGGATGTATCTAAATTACCTATAAAATCAAACATCAACTGATTCTACCTCATCAACAAATTTATCTTCAGGGATGGAGCCATAGCACAGCAGGGAGGGCATTTGCCCTGCACGTGGCCAACTCAGGAATTACTCCCAGCATCCCATAGTCCCCTGAACATCGCCAGGAGTAATTCCTGGGTGCAGAGCTAGGAGTAACCCCTGTGCCTCACCAGGGGTTTATCATCAAACAACCCCCACCTTTGGTGCCAGGACCAAGAAGCTGGATTCCAGGCCACAGAGAGAATAGCACTTGCCTTGCACGGAGCGCTGGCACCCCTCTATTCCTCTGTCTCCTCTAGGAGTGATTCCTGAACCAAAGCCAGGAGTAAGCCTGAGCACTGCCAGGTGTGACTGCCACCCCCAAATTAAAGCCGGATTCCAGCCTATGGGAGCAGTGTCTCTTCTCCCTTCCTGCCAACCTGAAGGCGGGAGGGTTGGCTATTCTTTGGGCTCTGAGTTCTCCCATGATTGTGTCGGGCCTGGGCACGTGTGTGTGTGTGTGTGTGTGTGTGTGTGTGTGTGTGTGTGTGTGTGTGTAGCCCAGAGGAATAGAGAATGAAGAGAAACGGGATGGGCACCTTCCAGGTGGTCGCCAGGAAGGCTGTCCTAGGAAACCAGCTTTCATCTGTGGCTTCAGAGGTATCAGAGGTTGGACTGATGAGGCGGCCAAGCCCTTCTCTGTGGGTGCCAACTCCCCAAAGCCACCCTGAGGCTTCTTTGCAAGGACTGAGCTTGCAGAGCGCAGAAATGGCCCATCTGATGCCTAACTGGCAGGGGAGCTCCAGGAGGCTCTGTCCCATGGGGGGGGGGGAAGGGGGGGCCAGAAGATTCTGGAGCTACAGTGTCCAACTCCTTTGCCATTGTTTCTGTCCGCTGGGAAGAAAGTTGTGGCGAAGAAGTGGCAGTTGGTCTGTCCCTTGAGTTTTAGTCCGTAGACCAGCATTTCTCAGCCGGGGGCCATATGTCCCCGCCCTGCCCCTTTGTGCTCTCCAAGATCAGGAGGATTCTTACTTCTCTTCCATCACTGGGTCCTGCTCGGCCAGTGGTTAGAAATTGTGTCAGAGTGTGTCTGGTGCTTCTCGTTTTTTCATCAGATGTGGAAGGCAATCCCGACTTGGCCATTATTCATGCCAATTAGGATCTAAGACACACACACACACACACACACACACACACACACACACGGAGGGAGGGAGGTGATGTCATCAAGTCCCCCAGGAGTGAGTGAGAGCTGGTTAGTGAGGGATCCGTCCAGGATCTCTCTCTCTCTCTCTCTCTCTCTCTCTCTCTCTCTCTCTCTCTCTCTCTCTCTCTCTCCTCTCACTGCCCTCCTACCTTTAACTGTAAAGAACTAAGAATGTCGATACTCGCTCACAGAGGAGAGATCTGTTGGAGGAACTGACTGAGGTCCACGCAATGAATATTCTGATCGCATTTCTCAGGACAGATGCCTAAGTCACACATCCCATGCCCTCTTTGCTTCACAGTCATAATGAGTTTATTTCAGCTGCCCTGGGCCAGTGCCACTGACCGTGGCAGGCGGGCCCTTGCCATCTCATTTCTCAGAAGAAACTTCTTTCACTCAGGACTTAGATTTTTTTCTTGCTTTTCCTCTCCGGGATGGGAGGATCTTGAGCAAAGTTTATTCTGACTGAGCAGCCCAGCGGTTCCACCTCAGTCAGAGGGTCACCAAGGCCAAATCCACGTTCCTGCGTGTCTCTGGGGGGCCCGGGCTGGATGCTGTCTTTGGCGGGCCTTCTGGAAGCATCGCAGAAAGCTCTGGTTCACGGTGCCTCGTGAACACGCTGCTCAGCAACGTTGGCGTGGAGATCGCCTCCTAAAATAATATGATTTCATTCAGCATCATCTGTTAAGATCGCGTCGCAGATCAGGGCTTCGTGTCAGCTGGTGCGGCGGGTCAGTAACATGGAACTGGATGGTCTCACAGGACTGTCGCGCATTCGGCTTTTCCTCAGCCTCCCCCGTGCGGGGTTCTGTGAGCTCAGAGCTTTGCAGAAGGAGCTCGATCCTGCCCTGCCCCGGGTGTGGGCTACTTTGTTTTCCCAACTGAATTTCCTCTCTGTTTGCAAAGTGTGAGTCGATCATGAAAGTGATTCATAAGACAATCCCATTATTTTCCTTGACCAAAGAATCGCGTTATTTCCTGAGTCAACTCTGAGTTTCATGCACTCAGTAACGAAGCAGGAACTGTGCCCAGGCTGGCTTGAGGCACTTCCCAAGGAACGGCCTTCACAGGGTCCTCCCGGGCCTCCAGCAAGATCTTTTCAAAGGGATGCTTTACTCCGGACCCACACACAGAGTCTGCAGACCTGCTCCCGGTGTCTGTGGGATGGAATTGTTCAACTGCGCCTGGTTTGTCATCACACACAGTCGCTCTCCTTCCTGGTGACTCTGGAGCGCCTATTAGTGGCTCTCTGGTCCTTCCGTTGGAGGTTTGTTGTAGAGCCTGAATTAAACGGGACCGTATCTCAGAGAGGAGGTGATGGGAGGCCCTCCTTTGGTGCTCCCCAGCCCCGGGGGCTGTGCTTTTATAGCCAATGACACCCTGACTTGCCTATTCCTTTGAGGGGAGATCATTGAATTTTCAGC